ATATATGTAGAAGTATGTATGCACGTAGGTGTGTGTGCATGCATGTATACATGCATGCACGTATGCATGTACGCAGGCACGCATGTATGCAGCTATATGTATATATGTATATATACATATATATGTGTACATACATGTATTTGTAGTATATGTTTGTATGTATGTCTGTATGTAGGCATGGTAGGCATGTAGTTCGATAGGTATGTCGGTAGGCATGTTGGTGTGTATGTATGTATGTTTGCATGTGCAGATGTATGTATGTATGTATGTATGTATGTATGTATGTATGCACGTATGTATGCATGTGCGCATGCCTGCATGCATGTCGGTGTGCATGTACGCATGTATGCATGTCTTCAGGTATGCATGCATGCATGCGTGCTTTTACGTATGAATGCATGTATGCATATGTATGTGTATATACACATGTATATATGTGTATGCCTATAGGTACGTACAAGTGTCTGTATACATGTACGCTTGCGTTTGTGAATGCATGCATGTCAGTAGGTATGCACACATTCGTGTATACCTGCATGTATGTATGCATTTGTGTATGTGTGCATGTGTGTTAAGATGAATGTATGCATGTGTGCATGTATGCATACATACATGCATACATGCATGCATGCATGTATGTATGTATGTATGTATGTATGCATGTATGCATGTATGTGTGTAATGCATGCATGCATGTATGTATGTATGTATGTATGCATGCATGCATGCATGCATGGTTGGATGTGGGAACGCGAGATGTAGGGCGTTGTGCGACGCCGCAGGGGTCTCAGAGAAGGAAACTGTCGGAGCACGCCGTCAGCGCGCGATGTCCCCGAAGGAACTGCGCAGACAGGAATGCGCGGTGTGCAAGCATGAGCGCGAACGCCGCCGTCTCGTCATCGACGGTCCAGATGACGAGCGCATTCACACGGCGAAGTTCCGGTGCGCCCCCGGGGTGTTCCCGAATAACGACGTGAAGTATGGGGTGAACAAACTCCGAGCGTCGCAATGCGCCCGACTGCACGAGAAGCCTCTGCTGCACGTTACTGCGCGCGACACTCCGACACCAGATGCGCTGCGAGAGCGGCCAGATCTCCCACACCAAAAGATGGCCTGGCTGCAGCGTCACGACAAGGAGAGCGGAGACCTGTATGGTTTTTTGCCAGTCGCGGAGGGAATGCCTGTGGCCCTCACAGATCATATCGACCGCAGCGAGGGCAAGTATCTACTCCGCGGACGCGTGGGGACCGTGCACTCATGGGTGTGCGATGGCGACGAAGGAGCAGGTCGCGTCTCCCGGGGGGGAGAGACCATAATGCAGAAGACGCCGAAAGTGATATTTGTCCTCTTCGATGAGGGTCGCGATGACGCAGGGAACGTGATTCCGTGCAAGTGGACGGTGCAGGGGCTGCAGACGCCGGGCCTGCACCCA